TTAATATGCAAACCTTTGAGTAAACTCATTTTATTTGCAGAAACCGACTGCACTTCAATTGGCTAATTGCCATTTGTTTATAAACTAATATTTATAATGTTTAAGTAATACGAGCATATTGGTATTGAGAACTATTTTGCTTAAGTCCATGAAGAAAAACCTACTGATTTATGCAAAGTCATTAAAAGCATCAATTCAATTCAAACATCTTGCAGATAACAGCAGCACACATTCATGTGTGATTGAAATTATTGAAGAGATTTACACTGCATCAATAACTACACAATTACTGCCTTTAAATAAAGCTACAAGCAATATAACATCAGTGTTTCTCTCTCCGTCCTTTACTTAAACACAGGCTCTGCTCTCCAGCACAATGGTGACCCACAAAACACAAGAGGAAGTTGATTGTTAGGTTTTACAGTATTTAGCTGTTTTCTTTTCTTGATTTTATGGTGAAATACCGGTAGCTGTGGTTGCCAGTAATCTACTGTTTTTTTATAGTTTGCATTCGTAAATTAAATTAACAGTATATTTATGTTAAAAAATACATTTCACAGTGTGTTTTTTTTTCATCTCACACATTTAACCCCTTTAATCCCACAGCAAAATCCTTAGTTTTAAAGAGCACTTATATCTGTCCACACTACAGAGTGTTGAAGTGACACTGAAGCGGTGATGAAGTTAATGAGATAATTAAATGAGGATTGAGCATTAGTGATGAACACCTGTTAACAAGCAGAATCACTGAAGGAAAGAGAAACACAACTTACAGCCAAAGCCAAAGATGAAATCAACTGAAAATAAAACACATTAAATTGATCAAGATCTCAGCAGAGGAGGATTAAACAGCTCCACAAACAGCATCACCAGCTTCTTATTACTAACCAGTGTGACTTTATTTCTGTCATATGTGTACAAAAGCTCTTATTGAGATTTTAGGTGTTGTACTTTCATTTGAAGTCACCATAATGGTGATCAGTGTTTGCTTTAGTTGGGCTCTTGAACCTTGACTTTCTAAAAATAGTTTTTCTTTAGTTTGCTGTTATTATTTAACACTGTTTTATACCAAGACAAGCCAAAATTATCTGTGATTAGATAAAACTGGTGTTTGTGATGTCAAGACCATCATGAACTAGATTCACTGATCACCCTTAATGTTTAAACTCTTATTAAGTGTGTGTGAAATATTACTAATACTCTTGAGTTGCACAATTGATACTACTGGAATCAATCATTGTGAAACAGTCCTAAGCACAATATGCACAAATGAAAGTTTTGAACTACGGCAGAACTTAAACACACACAGACATCGACATTCAGCCTATGAATCTCAACATTGGTGACAATAAAAAAAAAAAAATCATTCTGCAATGCATGCTGGGAGTTTTGTACTGGCACCCAGCATGCATGATTTAAAAAAAAAAATTTTTTTTATTAATAGTCACCATTGTTGAGATTCATGTGCTGATTCTTGATGGCTGTGTGTGTCTAAAACAAACTGTAGCTCTAGAGGTTTTGTGCATAAAATGTTTTTAAATTCCATCACAATACTTTGTCAACTTATCTTGTTTGAATCATATTAGTACCATAAACAAAAAAGTAATTTACGCATATAGTTAGACACAAATTGAGATCATAAATCACATCATTAAATGATCATTACATCATCATTAATAGCTATTAAAACCAGTTCTTTGCTATTTCTCTCAGCTTTTCTTGTCATAACTAGTGTGTTTTACGAGCAGTTATAGCAGCGGAGAAAAAGCAACCACTGATCGCCAAAATGGTGAGCTCAAACAAAACATTTTCAATACAATATACACCTCTGTTAATTCTCAAAAATGTTTTGTAGATATATGACAGAAATAAAGTGAGTCTGGTTAGTAATGAGTGAAGCTGGTAATGTTGTTTGTAGAGTTGTTTAATCATCATCTGCTGTTTTATTTCAGTTGATTTCATTTAAGGCTGTGGCTGAAGTCAGTTGTAGTTTCATTTCTTGCTCTTTTCTTCAGAGATTCTGCTTGTTAACAGCAGCTGTTGATCAGTGTCTGAATTCACTCATTTGTTTTCAATCACTCAGTCTAGTGGACTATATAGTAAACTAATGTAGGGAATAGTGAATGAGGGTTTAGGGTGTGATTTCAGACACAGTCTGTGAGTGTTGACTCTGAGGCTACTTTCTCGAAAACAAAGGTTAGATCTATTACAGTTATTCACCGTATATAGTAAGGAAACTTACTGTTAATCATTTAACAGGTTTTTACTGTGGCATTTGTACAGTCTTTTACCGTTAAAATCACGATCATTTTTTTACAGTGTGCTGCATGGTCTACAAGACAAGGAGTGTGTTGGTATTCAGAATCAGAATGGTATTTCATCTACAAAATATATGATTAGAATCGATATGGTTCTGTAAAGAGCAATTCCGAAGCATACCTTACAACAAGTAATCCCAAAAAAAGATTGCACATTTCAGTTCAGTAAAGCTCTGTGTTCACAAAAACAAATGAACGGAGGGACTGTGAGTAGGATCCTCCATAAAACAGGATGTACGTCCAGAGAGGCCCAAACAGCAGGGAGCTGGTGAGTCACCGTTTGATTGGTAAAGCTGTTACCCACTCATAGAATATAACGGCACTGTTGTAGCAGCACATTGAGACGTCTCTGGCTGTGCTTGTCGGGTTGGTGTGGGGGCAGGATTTTTTTTGTTTAGGGCTGGAGAACTTTCCAGAGAGCTTCTAATTTTATTTATACCTGTGGTTTTATTATGCCTCTTTCTTTTGGTCACAACCCAAGTAGACTTTGGAGAGTCCTATAAATCGTGCCACTTTTGTGTGTGTGATATTTCAGTGCAAAACCCCTAGTCTTATTGGCTAACCACCTCTAATTCATTTTAACCAGGCACAGTATAAAGCTTAAATGATGGAAAGGAGTGTTATAAGAGTATGCAAGTGCACTTACAGCCTTTTAATTTGGCGTCGGATGTGATTTGTCACGCCACCAGTCTACAAGATGGGGAATCGAGCCATGCAAATGGTGCAGTCGGTAGAACTCATCTGGCACAGGTTCCTGCGAGCTGCTGACGGGTTTTTAGAATCACACCATTTATGCTCTGAAAGGTTACAGGCATGCTTTCTAAATGGCAGAATCTGCTACTGTTAACCAGTCAGGTTAAAATAACCTTTCGCTGAGACAAATGTGGTTGACTTGGAGATTACAGTGCTTTAAGTAATGCCCATTTGTAGCATCCTTGTCTCAGTAGGCATCTGGTGCTCAGCGGGGTCATTTTGTGTTCTATAATAGTGGCCCAACCTGGTTTGTTTGTGAAGACGTCATTGTATTGGCTAATCTGCCAATACCCGAAGGACACCCTTGCTGCAAAGGTAGGGAGATAATGACTCAGCAGCACAGTAGCGTCCCTGACAAGATTCCAAAACCTTGCAGTTTAGATATCCAGAAAAAGACTCACAGTAGTCACCAAGGTGAAATTCGTATGTATGTTGAGCTTCAGTCAAACGATCTTGCAATATATCAGTGTGCCTGCTTCTCTCTAAAGCCAGACTCTTGAGGCCATGCACCAAATGCAGGTTTTGATACAGTGGTTAAAGGAGGGGAGCAGAACTAATCGCTGTGGTTCTCCCTTGATAAAACCATCATGTCTCATGGAGTGGCTTAGGTCATCAGAAAAACATCTGCTGAAACAAAAAAGAATAGAGTTTTGAAATACGACAAAAACTGACAATCTCTGAAAACAGGAAAAAAGTTTCCTCTGGTGGGTTGAGGCTTCTTCAGTAGCTAATGTTAGCTTTGCTAAACAAGTTTTATCACATTATGTGGGAACTTTGACTCATTTATTTGCTTAAAATGTTGTGACAAACAACAATTATACTCTGTGCCGTAGTCTTGACAAGTGAGATTCATGTTATTGTCCATGGCTTGTTTCCGGCGTTGGATCTGTGTGTAGGCTGAAGAAGCAAGGATGGGGTGGGTGTTGGGTGAGGTGCTCATCACCACAGCACTACTGAATGAAGATTTAAAACTAGAGGAAATAGAGTGCAACAGACAGGTTCCAGGTCAGGTAAAAATCTCATTTGTTTGCTTTATTTCGACACTCTTTTAAATGATCGAGTTCAACGGCAGACTTATTTGTGGAAAAACTACATCACACATGATCTCCACCATTCAGAGAACCGTGAATAATGGGAGTAAATCATGCCAAAACGAATGAAGCACGAAGCACTAAAAAGAAGTATTGCCAGTTTCCCAACCATCTTCAATATTTGTGTAACATGCGTATATTGTAATAGAAGTCAAATATATTATATAATCAACAGTTCTATGTGTTTCTAACATTGTAAATGTGATTATATCATTATCAATGACTCATGATATTGTAGTTCGTTTCCTTGAAAGATTAAAAACACAGTTTTGTGCCTTTGTATTTTAGTCTGATTTGCCCCCCCCCTTTTTCAATAATATTTTTTGCTTTTTTAGTTTATAATGTTGTGAGATTATAAATTAAAATAATCAGCCTAGGAGCAAGGTTTAAAAATATAAGTTTTTGGTATTCATTAGGTGGATCACTAAATTACAGGCTATATTTATGTATCTTTGGCATAGACTAATAAGTGCTCATGTAATGTACTACTCTCTACTACATACTACACAAGGATAAATGCTGTGTGCAGTGCTTATGAAAAGTAGCCATTTTTTACTAGTTTTGTCTACAAATGTCCTAACTTTTGCCAGTCCAATAAAACAATAATTCATATAGCCTAATACAATACTTCTAGAGATGAACCATTGGAGACTAGAGGAACTGGAGATTTGCCTAACCACCTCCCAACAAACACATACATTCCACTTTAGAGTCATTTTCATGTTTGACATTAAAGATGCTCGTGTATATGTGTGTGGCCATGTGACATGGGATGCGTCATACAGTATATGATGCGCACTGAGCAGAAGCGCGTCTCGTTCTCTCCAAAGCTGCAGAAGCCAGAGAGCGAGAGCATCTCATCTGTTCATCCAGCGAGCAACACCTGCGCCAACTATGTGAAGGTAAAGCTGCATTTCTCAACCCGATGCATTTCATCTTTTATGAAACTAAACTGCATTTATAACGCTTTAGGTGAACTCTGCGACATTGCTTATTTCAGCACAAACAGAAAAGTGAGTCGTTTTCATCTACAGTGCGTCTCGCGGGGACAGTATGTGCAAGCGCGAGCCTATTAAATACCGTAATGTTACAGAAAATGAATCGTGAAGTTCTCCGTGACTCCGTGATACACGCTGAAAAAGCCCTGATTTAAACTTCAATTGAAATTCTTTTGTGATCTGATGCCGAATAATGATTCAAAACACGAGCACACAGGTGATAGTGTGCATTAAAGTTGAATAGGCTATTTGCACTTTATAGCCTACACTCTTAAAAATAAAGGTGCTTCAAAAGGTTCTTCAAGCGATGCCATAGAAGAACCATTTTTGGTTCCACAAAGAACCATTCAATCAAAGGTTCTTTAAAGAACCATCTCTTTCTTACCTTTTTATAATCTGAAGAACCTTTTTTCGCCACAAAGAACCTTTTGTTCTTTCAGATGTTGAAGGTTCTTTCTGGAACCATTTAGACAAAAAGGTTCTTCTATGGAAGCACCTTTATTTTTAAGAGTGTAGACACAGTCACACACACAAACTAGACTGTTCTTAATATTGTTAGTTCATAATATATTCGAATTTCTAACTATATTTCATACATTTAGCTAATATTTCATTTCAGTCTTTAGTTATATATTCACATTTAGTCATTTAGCAGACGCTTTTATCCAAAGCGACTTACAAATGAGGACAATGGAAGCAATCAAAATCAACGAAAGAGCAATGATATGCAAGTGCTATAACAAGTCTCAGATTGCCTAACACAGTACACGTAGCAATTTATATATATATATATATATATATATGAGATAAAAAAATTTCCTCACCAGTGTAAAGTTGTGTCTAAGTTGCCCGCTGCTTTTTAACTGTATGTGTGGTGTTTTAGGTTGAGTCTGCAGGCATCAATTATTCAAAGCCCGTCTCTTAGAGTAATAATCCCTAGGTGCCCATCCATGCAAAAAAAACAACAAGTACAAAATACAAGAGCCGAATGATGGCTCGTCTGAGAGGGCATTCATTTCTGTGCTCAGTGAAGCATCGATCGAGCTTTTGAGAGCTCAATATTCTCTGTAATCTTGGAACGATGAGGATCCATGCGTCTTATTTGAACAAACGTTCTCTCAATGTCATCCAACAGGTTTCCTTCAGCGCATCTCTGACCATGCTGTTCCCTGCCTCCAAGTCCGATGTGAAATCTGTTCTGGACGGCGTGGCAGAAACCACGTTCAGAACCATCACTTCTGGACTGCAGTACATTGGTAATAACGACGTCGGCTACGGAGACCTCATCATTGACGGTGACTTCGGCAAAGGCGGAGGATACCCTCTGCCGAAGCCGTTCGCAGCCTACCGCAGAAGCTCCTTCGCTGATAAAGTGGGCCCGGATGAGGAGCTCATCATAAAAGGTATTCCCTTTTACCCCACGAACAGCTCCGATGTGTTTGGGAACTTCAGCCTCGGAGATGAAGGGAGCAGTCTGCAGTGCGGGGAGAACTTTATGGACATGGAATGCTTCATGATACTGACTCCTAGTCAACAGCTCGCCATAGCCGTGTTGTCTCTCACGTTGGGGACTTTTACAGTACTGGAGAACCTGGTGGTGCTGTGCGTGATACTGCAGTCTCGTACCCTGCGCTGCAGGCCCTCCTACCATTTCATAGGCAGCTTGGCCATCGCCGACCTGCTAGGCAGCGTCATCTTTGTCTACAGCTTCTTGGACTTTCACGTCTTTCACCGCAAAGACAGTCCGAACGTGTTTCTGTTCAAGTTAGGGGGCGTGACGGCCTCGTTCACCGCGTCTGTGGGAAGCCTGTTCCTCACCGCCATCGATCGATACGTTTCTATCCACCGTCCGCTGGCGTACAGGCGCATTGTGACGCGCACCAAAGCCGTGATCGCCTTCTGCGTGATGTGGGCGATCTCCATTATCATCGCCGTGCTGCCGCTGCTGGGCTGGAACTGCAAGCAGCTCAACTCGGTCTGCTCTGACATCTTTCCGCTCATCGACGAGAACTACCTGATGTTCTGGATCGGCGTGACCAGCGTTCTGGTCATCTTCATTATCTACGCTTACATGTACATCCTCTGGAAGGCCCACCACCACGCGGTGAGGATGCTGCGGCGCACGTCTCAGAAGAGCCTGGTGGTCCACTCCTCCGACGGCACCAAGGTCCAGACCGCCAGACCGGATCAGGTTCGCATGGACATCCGTTTGGCCAAAACGCTGGTTCTGATCCTGGCGGTGTTGGTGATCTGCTGGGGGCCTCTGCTGGCGATCATGGTGTATGATCTGTTCTGGCGGATGGATGACAACATTAAGACAGTGTTTGCGTTCTGCACTATGCTCTGCCTGCTCAACTCCACCATTAACCCGATAATCTACGCTCTCAGGAGTAAAGACCTGCGGAGGGCCTTCCTCGCCACCTGCCAGGGCTGCAGGAGCACCTCCAGCACGACCCTGCAGCTGGACAACAGCCTGGAGTCAGATTGTCAGAGGAACCAGCACATCGCCGCCAAGCGTGCGGCCGAGAGCTGCGTCAAGACCACTGTGAAAATAGCCAAATTGACAATGTCCGTCTCAGCGGAGACATCGGCCGAAGCCGTTTGATTGCACCGCCGGCCGGGTGATGTTCGGATGCACCTCGTCTCAAAAGAATGTCACGGAAAGTTACATGCATAAAGTTCAAAACACAAAGCTGCTTGAGTTATCATGGTTTGATGAAGTGTTCACTATGACATTTCATCACTTAAGTGCCAAATTTGATTTTTTTTTTTTCCTCTCAGAAAAGGTTCTCACCCAGTAAATGAATTTGTTGGGGCTTTTTTGTTGTTGTGTGCCCTTATATTTAATTGTAACGTGTGGATGTTGTGCGTGCTTTATGAAAGTTTACTATATTTTTATACTTTGAATTTTTTTTTTTTGAACAATGATATCTTCTCACATGGGAATAAGGGGCTAATGATCTTTTTAATAAAAACGTGTAAGTATGAATTCAAATATATATATATATATATATATATATATATATACACACACATTGGTATCTATGTAAATATGTGTAAAACTCTGTGGAGATTTAGTGTATCCAACATCATTGTGATAAACGACAAAAGATAAGAGTCTCTCTGTTTTTGAGATGTCTTGTTTTGCCAGTGAAATAAATGTATTGAAATTGAAAGTATTATAAGAGGAGCAAGTTCTGTCGCTCCTCAAGTACATGAATAATGAAAGCAGGAAAAGTGAGGACATTTGTTTGGTTCGCTTAACAAATGTATTGAATCTCGTTTACTAAGATATATTTGGTCCGTTACATGATGCTTTAGTGTTATTGTTGTGAGGATCAGAAAAAGACAGGACTATTTTCAACAATTTAAAAAAAATTTTTTACAAGATGGCCTGTAATTGTGGTTTATCGTCACAGATAAATACAGTAACTGAAATAACTCTTGGATTTGATTCTGATTGTTCATTTTTATTTTGTCATCCTGCCGATGTACTTCTCTGAGATGTAAAGTCAAATTAATTTTACAATACGCACAGAGCCCAGAGAAAAATAAAAATGATACATTTTGTGAATAGAACATTTGTATTTAATCTTGTAGTTAATTAACAAATAATTAAAATGTACATATCATGATTGTTTAGTAATATTCCTTAAACCGTGAAATGGTGTGGTGGTGCTTTTTTGTTTGCACTGTTCAAAAGTATAGGTACATTCCTTACCTGAAATGTATCTACTTAAGTATTGAAGCTTAAAAATCATAAAACGTCACAGTGGCTTTTGTCCCAAAGTAGTTCTTGAACGTCTGTCTCAAAATGATGTCTTAAAATACAGAAGCTGCTTGCACACTTATGTATCACAAAGCAGGAAAAGTGAGGACATTTGTTTGGTTCGCTTAACAAATGTATTGAATCTCGTTTACTAAGATATATTTGGTCCGTTACATGATGCTTTAGTGTTATTGTTGTGAGGATCAGAAAAAGACAGGACTATTTTCAACTATTTTTATTTTTATTACAAGATGGCCTGTAATTGTGGTTTATCGTCACAGATAAATACAGTAACTGAAATAACTCTTGGATTTGAATCTGATTGTTCATTTTTATTTTGTCATCCTGCCGATGTACTTCTCTGAGATGTAAAGTCAAATTAATTTTACAATACGCACAGAGCCCAGAGAAAAATAAAAATGATACATTTTGTGAATAGAACATTTGTATTTAATCTTGTAGTTAATTAACAAATAATTAAAATGTACATATCATGATTGTTTAGTAATATTCCTTAAACCGTGAAATGGTGTGGTGGTGCTTTTTTGTTTGCACTGTTCAAAAGTATAGGTACATTCCTTACCTGAAATGTATCTACTTAAGTATTGAAGCTTAAAAATCATAAAACGTCACAGTGGCTTTTGTCCCAAAGTAGTTCTTGAACGTCTGTCTCAAAATGATGTCTTAAAATACAGAAGCTGCTTGCACACTTATGTATCACAATTTAGTCCATTTCAATTTTTTTTCATTTTTTTTTTAATAAAGTCAGTACTGGCCTAAACTGTGTATTGGGATACTTTTATTTAAAACGGCAAATCATTGTGTCAAATCATTATGGAGTCATGTTGCACATATTGGTATTGTCTCTGATTCCCTCTAGTGGATAGTTACAGTTTCATAGTTACAAGAGTCATTTTCTAGAACAGACAGCAATGATTACCTTTGTGTGAAAAATGTAGTTCTTTTATCCCTTTTTATATAAAGGATAATGAAGAGTTATCATCACCATATGATCCCGATGACTTGATCTGGATCTGACTTGAAACAGACTGCAGATCACCCCACTCTAACAGCATTAACAAAAAATGTAACAAAGAAATGAACATTTTCAATTTTACAGCATGATTGTGTTGTTTTTCCAGAAATGAAAACATAATGCTAATCCATCTTCAATGGAATCTGAGAGCTACTGTATATAGTCTTCTGATGTAGCATGCAAACACATGGCATATTTATCTGATAAAACCTCAGTCCATGCAACAGCAGGGTGCTGTTGGCTCCAGGGCCAGTGATTGTGCACAACACACTTCATTTGAAAAGCTCATAGCTTGATGTTTAATGCACTAGAACAACCAGCCGGCAGAACCCAATTTCTTTCACGCTTGTCATAAACACAACCCGCTGCCACTATCTGCAAAGGAATGACACCATAACCCAAGGTGAAAGACAATATTTTTACATTAAGCAATTTTTCTATTACTTTTTCCTTCTCGTTTTTTCAGAAATGCATTATAAGAAAACAGCGAAACGCAACTTAATGTTCAGATCAGCAACCTTGCAACACAGAGTTTCTGCCAAACCTTAATAAGCACTACCTTACAGGCATTATAAGAAAAAACTTAAAGTGGTTTTGTTGTGCTGAGACTGTGTTTTACAATAAGCGTTACCATAGAGAAATAACTCGGGTAAAAGTAAACATAATAATATTCTCAATCTCATGGTGCTGTTGCTTTGGCTATAGATATGTCTACTGACAAGTGAAGTGTGAGAGAAAGCTGGTTGTTTATTTAGTACATTAAGCACTGTCATAGTCCATGCGTCTTGGATGTCAAATTTGTATATCTAATAATATTGTATCTAATATTTATCTCTGCAGATTTTAGACAGACATTAAGCAATGGCGGTTTTAATTCACTTGGCACCAGAACTTTCCAAAAACTCCAGTTCCAAAAATGGCTTCTATGACAGATATTACCAGAACCATGATTCATTTTTTAAATGTGTTTTAGGTTTTTATTCTGTTCGATTTTTATTTAAATATTAGGCCTATTTCTTTTACTCGTGTTATAGCTCGATTAGAGGTTTGCTGAGGCCTCCTTGTGTGGTTATTGAGAATCACTGGGATACAGAATATTTTAAAGAAATCCCATATGCCTGCCTCAATCATTAATCACTGTAACCAAAGTTAAATGATATACAGTATATTCCATTTTATGCATGGGCAATGCATAACCCTTACCAAAAAGTAGTATACTTCAAGTTTATTTTATTAAGTATACTTAAGTAAAGTTCAAGTATATTTTTAAGTATACTTTATGTAGTAAGTATACAAATATCAGTGTACTAGTAGAATACTTGTAAAATTTCAATACCCTTGGGACTAAATTGGCCCACTTTCTAGTATATAAAAGTATACTTTAAGTATAACAGTAGTAAACTTTGAGTACACAACTAGTTTACATCAAAATGTTTAGCTTGTACTGCAACTATACTAAAAGTGAACTTATAGGTATACTGATAGTTTACTAATTAAATACTTGTAGTAGCATTTTTAGTACACTTTGAAGTAAAGTCTCAGTAAACTACTAGTTAAGTATACTTTCCTATTTTTTAGTTTAAAAGAAGTATACTAATAGCACACTTGAATAAACTTCTTTTTCGTAAGGGAAGCTTAACATAAACCAACATTTTGGACCAATTAAACTACCTATGCTAACGCAGGTTAATTTAGGCTAAATCTATTGAACCATGTTACCCATTTTGAGTAGTTTATTCAAATTTTTAAGGATTTCATTAATGTGTTTATGATATAATATAATAATATGTTTATATAGGATACACAAATCCGGGTTTTAATCTAATCAAACGCATTTCAAATTCTGGTATGCAAATTCTGTCTTTAGTGCGGTGGACAAATCCCATTTTCTGAAGCAAACACTAGCATTTTCTTACTATTTGTTGATTAGAGGCCAAAAAGTTGTGAAAAATAGTGATGATTTTTTTCTCATATGTAAGAGATATCATGACTGTGGCAGTGTGACTGGAAGTGTCTCATGATGAGGGTAATGTTTTTATGGATCGACCCCTTAATATTTTAAGCATTCCTTTAGAATCAGCTGAGTGTGTGAGCGACTTCATCTTGACCTTCTGGTGTTGTTCGGACATTTTAGACTGAAAAATGTTTTTTTTGGAAATGTAAAATATTCGACAGTTCATTGGAATGGTTTGAAACTCTGAGACTTTTATAGCAGTCTCTATGTGACCCCCCCCCCCCCCAAAAAATAAAATCATGGACTTCGAATTGATTCGAAAAAGCTAAATGGTCAAACAAATAGTTACACTTGTGTTGTTCACGATCAGAAATGACCGCCATAGAAATTAATGGGAAATAGGCAGAAATACGAAAATACAAAGATGTTTTTGTGTGTACAATCTACAAATCAGCCACAATGCTGAAATAAAGTGCACAGCAATGAAGGAGTGACAATGTCGTCTGAAAACACTGCTCAGAAACTAAGGAATGCACAACACTGAATATAAACAGGCATCTAATGGATACTCCATGGTATTACAGATCAAATCTGCCTCAGATCAATGAGTTTTAACTTAAATACTGCATTACAGTTTTTTTTCAACTGCTTGCACACAAAATCCTCAGGGAGCAGATAAACACTGGATAAACACAAGATGAACCACAGGTCCTTTGGATCACTGTCTGACTGCCAGAATCAACAATTATACAGACATTACGTTATGATTATATTAGTGAATTATAATATCTGATCCCGTGAACGCAACGCTATGGGATAAAAAATATTAAAACTCAGATTTTGTATTTTTCTTTTCGAACTGTGGCAGCGTAACTCAGCTTATTTTGCAAGGGCTGTCGGCGAGAGGCCGGACTTTTATTTTGAAACGGTGTTTTGGCTGCAACCCGGAAGTGCAGCTCGCGTAATGCTTTCGAATGTAGCCTACTGTGGCAGCTAACTCAGCTTATTTTGTAAGGGCTGTCGGCGAGAGGCCGGACTTTTATTTTGAAACGGTGTTTTGGCTGCAACCCGGAAGTGCAGCTCGCGTAATGATCAGTAATCTGATCATGTGAAACAATAAGCTGAATGATCAAAACATTGCTGTCAGGCAGCGTTGATACTATGCTTTTAGAGTTTATATCAGACCTGCGCTTCGTCTGTGAGGTGAGGGAACTATAATATCGCTCTTAAACTGTATTTGCAAATATTTGAGTGTTATTTACACTGTTTACACATATGCAGGTTAAGATTATCAGACTATCATCATCCACTGCTGTTATTTATATTTATAATACTTATGAAAGGTAGCAGGTACTTTGGAGATTCATATAAATGTGTTGTGTACGTATATAAATGTAAATAGGTATTGCATTATGGTATTACTCTGTTTAGCCAATTTATTACCATAGTAATATTATGGTAGTTTTGGAACTGTGTACCATGTAAACACATGAATATGGTAATTTAGTACCATGATATACACACAATACACCACTGTTGTGCCTAAACAATAAACATGATTTATAGTGTGGTACTGTCGGATTGATTCTCTTTTTTAGATATAATGTCGGACCCTTACTCAGTTCTGGGGTGTGTGAGGAGAGGTCTGCGGTTAGATGTGTTTAAGGATGTTGCTCGTCAATATCCAGTCATTTTCTGTATCTTCATCTTTATGATCTCCTCCACCATCATCCTCAACCAGTGAGTATCTTAATCGAGATGCATTCTGCAGCATTTTATTTTTTTCCTGTCAATAGAATTTAGTTTGTCATGATAATTTTCCACCCTCTCTCCGACTCTTTCAATTGAACAGGCTAATCACTGTACCTTTAAGAGCTGTATATGCAAATGATCCATGTTATGATTAGGTTACCCCTTATCTTTCCAGATATCTCCATATTCTCATGATATTCTGGTCATTTCTGGCTGGAGTGATCATATTCTACTGCTCCCTCAGCCCTGAATATCTGCTGCCGAATATTCTCATCTCAATCAAGACCAAGAGGAAAGTAAGTATTAGTAAAAGCAGATAGGTCTAACTTTAAAACCACTGTTGTGGCCATCAGGATTTGAGGAATGTCTAGTCAGAAGCCAGGAGTGCAATCATGAGAGACTGGAAATCACCCTCCGAACGACATTGTCGTGGGCCCCTCTAAGCCTCTGTGCCCAGTACACTCTGTCTCTCTTTTCCCCCGGTTGAGACGCTGCTGCTAGGGATGGTCTCAGTGTCTTCAGTCTAGTAAATTATCAGCATGTGTAGCCAACCACTCTACCAAGTTCATCTGGTAGAATCTGAAACACAAAGCATAAAGCAGTGGACGTTTGTGATGGGAAATCAAAATGGCCTGTTTTATATTCCCACCGCCCTCTTACTTCCATGCAGTGTGGTAGGCAAAGCTTATTAGTATGCAGTGTTGGATCCACTTTTCACCATTCGAGGGACCCATCACACCCTATAAGGATAAGTTCTTCCTCATGTTCTGCTCACTCCCCAGTCCCATCATTGGCATGCGCTCACCTGTCCTTTACTTGAACTCAGGAGGACATTATATGGGCCTTCCCACACCTTAAGTCTTCACCCTAATGTAGATGTTGTTCCCTGGAGCAAATGTATTCCTTTGCCTGTCCAGTTGTGTAGCTTTGGTATGCTCCACAAACAAGTCTGCCTTTAGTGGAAGAGCAGAGAAAATTACAACAGGGATCAATTTGCCAATACACTGATAACTCTGTAATCTACAGTCAGCCGCTTGGTACCATCAGGTTTTCTCACTGTCCACATGGAGTCAGTGGAACTGGATTGGTACATAGTTATGACCCCTCTCTCAACCAGCCATTGGATGGCTGGTACAGTTTTTTCCACCGTGTCCACACTCAGTGGGTATTTTCGAGTTCTCAACTGTAGAGTGCCTGCAAAGTGTGCCTTGATTCTGAGATAAACTCTTATGTTCGAACTCCTTGTTTCTTGAGATGGGATTATTAATGAATATTTGACCTTGGTTCTTTGTTTTTTTTTGTCTTACTGTAAGATACGCTCTCAAAGCCAGCTGCTAGGGAGTATGGTAGGGAATATTGGTCAGCCCCACAACTACAATAGCAAAATCATCTGGAACCTTCTTCGGCACGGCTCACTTTGCTTGATCTTTGGTTCTTTCTTTCTTTGCTTGATGTTTGATTTAGTTCTTCTTTTTCTTCTTACATTCTATCCTCTTTCCCACAAATACCAGCACTCATCTATAACAGGCTGATGTCATGGGGACCTCTGAAAGCAGGGGTCACCCCAAGTGCCTATGCAGCTGGGTAAGCTGACCTGCTTGTCTCTTGCATAGGGTCCAATAATGAAGTCCCCATTGACACTAGTGCTTTTTTCAGATCAGGGCTCAGGCCTTATAGCCATATCCCAACAAATGGTGCCTTGTTACCCTGCCGCTTCAGCAAGTCATTAGGGTCAGTGTCTCTCGCTACCATACCAGAGTGCATAATGCATGCTTGACATAAGTCTCATGATGTAGTCTGCCCCATCATTCCTGGCCTTGTGATTAACAGACGTCACCTTGGACCAATCGGTTTTACTTTTGATACAGTCTTTCAGCAACTGTGAGATCACTTCCCACGCATCGTTCTCCACTCCAAATTCCCAGATATAATTTCCCCCTTGTGGTCAACCTTCATGTGGCCCAAGAAATCTCCAGCTTCCGTGTGACTTATGCTCTTTGGATTCTATTTTCACAGGGTGACCTATTTTCTAAGCTCACATATTAAATGTGGTTTGGTCTGGTGGTTTAAAGTTGTAATAGGTCTCAGCTTCCTCTCCGCTACTCTTAGTACTGCTATTAACCATAAGGGGGCACGTTTGAGTGCCTCCTTTTACTCCCGGGCTTCTGGCCTCCAGATGGTCTCAGGCAGGAAGGAATCTGTGACATTTTCCTGATAAGTGTCTGTATCTAAGTCTGCCTTAGACTGACTGCACATACATGCCCTCCACCATTCTGAGGTGACAGAGATCTGGATACAGAGAGGAAACTGGGGGAGCATATGCAACAGCAGCTGAGCTAACTGAGCTCACTCACAGATTATTGTCCATTGGGAGTCTGCAGCTCACTTTCAGATGTTCACTGTTGACTCTGTAGATCTTGCATCTTGTTACGGCACTAACATTAAAGCAGAGAAAAATGAATTGGGATTGGCTCCCAACTCCCTGCAGAGATTTCCACAACTTTTGAACAACAGCTTTAACAGCGACAGAAACAATGTGGAAAATACAACATTTTGAGGAGGGAGAAAGGAATTTGTTTGTCTGAAGTCTTCAGTGTTCTTTTTGCGCACCACACGAATCACTCGCAGCTTGGACAGAAATTACTGTAATTATCTAAGCCAAGAAGCAATTGAAAAAAAGATAGAGGCGGAGAAGTGCACATAATAGCAGGAGAAAACCCTAAACACGCCATCTAGACACAAACACATTGTAACCACAATTAAATAAATAAAACTAGATAAATATATGTTCTTGGTCGTAACAATCACTAACTTGCTAACTTTTTCTTCCAGTTTATTATTAAGCCTCCTAATATGCTCCTCACATTGGGAGTTTTCAATCTTGTGACGGTCTTTCGTTACTTTGCCTGTATGCCTTCAGTGCTTCAAACAAATTATAAAAGTCCACCTATGCCTTTTGGCAACCAATAGAAGGCAGTCTATAGTGTTTTATATATATATATATATATATATATTAGATGATATGTAAGCTATTTGAGTATATAGGGAACATGTTCAAGAAACCAGTTTGAGATGATTTGAGCTTTGTGACATGGCACGTTATCCTACAGTAAGTACACTGATTGGTACACTGTGGTCATAAAATGATTGACATGGTCAGCACTAGCAGCAATTCTCATGTTGGCTGTGGCTTCTAAACAATGCTCAGTTGGTACTAAGGGGCCCAAAATGTGCCATGAAAATATCCCCTACACCATAGCACCACCACCAGCCTGAGCCATTAATACAAGGCAGGAAACATTCATGCTATCATGTTGTTTACGCCGAAATCTGCCCCTACAATCCGAACATCACTGCAGAAATCGAGACTCATCAGACTAGGCAGCCTTTTCCCCATCTTCTTTATTTGGCGAGCCTGTAAAAACTGTAGCCTCAGTTTCCTGTTCTTAGCTGACAGCAGTGGCACCTGCTGTGGTGTTCTGTAGACCATCTGCTTCAGGGTTTGACGTGTTGTGCATTCAGAGATGCTCTTCTGCATACCTTGGTTGTAACAAGTGGTTATTTGAGTTAACTTTGCCTTAGGAACCAGTCTGTCCATTCTTCTCTGACCTCTGGGATCAATAAGGCATTTTTACCCACAGAACTGCTGCTCACTGGATATTTTCTCTGTTTCGGACCAATCTCTGTGAGCTCTAGAGATGGGTTTACAGATAAAGGGGAAACATGATACTGATCACAAATCAGCACTCTTGGAAGGCCACTCACCCAATCAAATTCGAGGACCGGAACTAACTGTTGTATTAACCGATATATTGGCCTTGGCAATACTTGACCATTAGGATAAGTGTTCCCTCTGCTTTGTGCCATTTTCAAAATCTTCCTTGTGTTTTGTGAATTTTCAGTTATCTTTTGTAAATAAAAGTTTGATTGTCATTTCAACAATATTGTGTACAACTTTGGTTTGCATTATGAATATATTATCGGCAGTATATAGAATACCTTGCCTCTAGATATTAGCCAAAAACCTTATTTATAAATCAAGTCACCTTAATTTATGTAAACTGATTGTTTCAAAGTGGCGTAATAGTAATTAAATTACAATCAATGATGCAAACTTCACTAAATATGATACTAATTCGAATTCTGCTGTAAAGCAACTCTAAAAAGTTCATAGTGTCATTATTTAGCTCCAGTCTGTTTGGTGTTGATTCAGTTCAGTTCCATAACAATGTTGATTTGTCGATTATGAAATAAATTTGATTCAGCTATAAGGCATCTTTACAGAAGACAATAGTGTCATCATCCAGCTCAATTAATTTACGTTTTGTTGTCATCCGATAGTGTCAGTACTGTCAAAGTGATAATATTACTGAATATTTAGTGTATTTTAAACCCTTTTGAAACTTTTACTGTATTAATGATTAATATACTGTATATCTGTGTATCCTCAGCCACAGAAACAGCAAGAATTGTTCCCGCTGGGTCACAGTTGTGCAGTATGTGGGAAAAACCAGTGCAAACGCCACAGGTATGATCAACTTGGGCAAATGTCAACCCAAAACCAAAAGAAAAGAAATAAGAAATTATATTTAGAATAGAATGCTGCAGGGATTACATATTTTTGCTGACCAAAACCTGGGAATGTGTTAGCATTTTAGCACTTACAGTTATTTCTGTCAGGACCACTATCATCAAAGATGATTGACAATTAGCATACAGTTTGGATTGGCGGTATGGTTACGTTCTGGGCAAGAACTCCCTGCGCATCCATGCAGCCTAGCATGGATGTGAGCAGGGAGAGAAGCGATAACCCCCCAGAGTAAACAGAACAGAACCAACATAAATGTATTGCAGATATTGTTAAGTTCAATAATGTTATGTGCACATTTTAGAATTAGTCTGATTCAAGGAGAATCAGAAGGCTGAATCCCGACTGACAGAGGAGGAGCTGGGGATGGAGGAGGGTAATTAGCTATTGAGCAATGCGAAAACTGCTGATAATACTGCGGGATACCTTATATATGAATGCTTAGATAGGTGTCGTATTCCCATAGGTAGATGGGGATCAGTGGAGAGTCAGCTGATGCGAGCTTGACTAACGTGACCGGCCAGAACTAACGCTACGCTTGATATCATTGAGTTTTTAAATGGGTTTTTGGTTAAATGCCTATGGTGGTCTGTGTTGAACACAAGCTCAAGATGTTTTTTTAAAACAGGGTCTGTCTACAAAAGTACAACATCACTGCAGTGCTCTATAAAGAAACAAGTCTATTTTTTGGACAATATTTTATGTTCAGTGTTACATTACATTCCTGACAAGTAAGCACTTTTAAACCCTTCGCCACCAGGCACCAGCGTGCTGTAATGTGGGGGAAAAAATCCTATTTAAGGTTTGCTGATTTAAGTGCAGCTACCAATGGTAGTATCTCTTAGCATCTCTGTGTTTGAGCAAGGACTGAGAACATGATATTGGGTTTTGAAGACTTTCTTTCAAGTTTTGCATTTTACACTATCCATCTTAAAACGCAAAGACAAATTCTGTCTTGAAAAAGACAAACCAAACCAAAACAAATAATTCTGTAGTATTCTGCAATAAATAATTAAAGCACAATATCAGTCGTTTTGCATTTGGAAATGTTTTTGCTTAAATAATGAGGATGTAAATGTAACTATTTGTGTTTTTATTCCAAAGACCTACCCTTCTGCTGGAGAACTATCAGCCATGGCTGGACTTAAAAGTGCCGTCCAAAGTGGATGCCAGTTTTTCCGAGGTAGACTCATAATGCCAGTCCTGAGTAAAATTATATATTATATAAGCAAATTAATAAATCAAACGAATAAATCCTTTGTTTGACTTATCTTCAGGTTTTGGAGTTAGTTCTAGAGAACTTTGTGTACCCATGGTACAGGTATGGCTGCTTTAAATGCAAACGTTACTTTTATTACAGTGTTTTAGCTGAAAAAAAGCTAAAAAGCTTTTTTTTTCTTTTATGATGTTTTGCTATCAGAGATATTACAGATGACGAGGCGTGTGTCGATGAACTGAGACAAACAATCCGTTTCTTTGCTGCAGTTCTGGCTCACCGAGTACAAAGAGTACATACACCTTCACACAATTCAGCACTGATATCACAATTTACATACTGTAGCTGACTGAAACTGTCTTGTAGGTGGATGTTCCTTTAGTTGTGATGGACAAAATGATGAAGGCAGCTATGAAGCACATTGAGATCATGGCAAAAGCACAGCAGAAAGGTGCGTCCTGTGATGAAATCATTCAATATCGGAGGAGCTTAGGTCTAGAATTTTGGCACCATCAGTTTAATCAATTTTGTTAACCATCTTTTTGTTTAAATGGTGTGAGCAGTGAAGAATACAGAGGGTCTCCAGCAGGCAGCACTAGCCGAATACGGTGCCGATCTGCATGTGGCCCTGCGGAGCCGCAAAGATGAGCTGCTGTACTTGAGGAAGCTCACAGAGCTGCTGTTTCCTTGCGTCATGCCCCCTAAAGCTACAGACTGCAGGTACATCTCACACACACACTGGACACTCCTGTTCAAAAGCTTGGGGTCAGTACGTTTTTTTTTTTAAAGAAGTTTCACCAAGGCTGCATTTATTTGAAAGAATACAGTAAAAACTGTAATATTGTGAAATAATATATACAATATACAATCATGGTTTCTATTTGAATATATTTTAAAATGTAGTTTATTCGTGTGATCTAAGCTGAATTTTCAGCATCATTACTCCAGTCTTCAGTGTCACATGATCTTTGAGAAGGTATACAGGTGCATCTCAATAAAGTAGAATGCCGTGGAAAAGTAATTTTAATTTCAGTAATTCAACTCAAATTGTGAAACTCGTGTATTATGTATGTATATATACACACAAAATTGCAATAGCTGCATTTGATACACCATATAAATGTAAATAGTTGTATTACTGTGACGGTCTTGTAGTTGTTATTCATATTCATGAATATGCTTTATTCCAGGACACAGTGAATCACATGGTGCTCATTTTCATTGATGACACTCCAGTGAGTGATTGAACCAAATTAATTATAGTCTGGTCAATTAGCCTTTTCCTGCCATTTAAACATGTTTTTTTCTGTAATTTCTGCTTTTAGCCTGAGCCAGTTACTGACCCTCCATCTGTGCTGGTGCCCTTCCTGGAGAAGTTTGCAGACCCACGCAACAAGAAGTCCTCGGTGTGTACTTTGGCCAACTTAATATAATGCTTTCAGAATTTATCAAGGCATCTAAAGAAAAGAGCTGTAGTGAGAAGGTTGATCAATTTCAAAGTTTACTTACGACATAATTTGAGTGTTTTTTGAGTTCTCGTGTCTAGTAAATGTCTCAAACAAAACCTTACAGGTCGTTTCTTTTGTTTGTTCTTCCGTCAGGTGTTGAAGTTGGATTTGAAGGAGATCAGAGAGCAACAGGATCTGTTGTTTCGTTTTATGAGTTTCCTGAAGGAGGAAGGAGCGGTACATGTCCTGCAGTTCTGCCTGACTGTGGGTGAGGACATGCATTTCACTGCACACAATGCATGATAGTCTCATTAGTAAATAATCTGATGGGGTGATGTGGGTTTCTGTTCCCAAGTATATTATATAGCAGTCATATGCTTACATAAAAATGACTAAGAAGGATCAGAGAATGAATTTAATCTTCAAACAAGGTGGGAAGATGGGCACACTTTTAAATCTTCATCTTCTGTGGCGTTTCTTATCTGTCTTTCTCTTTGATTTTGGTCTATGTCATACCCAGCTCAGAAAGTCAGGTCCAGTTGGGTTAGAAAGAAATCTCTTAAATCTATTAAAATTGGACTCTTACCAAAGACTGGGCACACTGGGCACCAGTTATATTGTTCTCACATGGGGCATCAGATGATGTTTTGATCTTCACACAAGGTGCCAAATTATGAAGTGAGTTTTTGTCACCGTCACTTAAGGTGAGTGTGGGAGTGTCAGAAGACTGACGGAAGACGGTCACATTAGTAAAACGTCAATGAAAATTGGCAGTCAAAGTAGTTCTACTCGAAAGTAGTTCCCTAAGTAAGCTTGATGTTGGTTAAATTCGCATATTCGGAGTTGACTTGAATCCCATTCAAAATCCACATGGGGATTTTTTTTGTTTTTTTTGGGGTTCACGTAAAATTCCTGATCACACTGATTGAGATAACTACATTGCATTCCAAGGTACACTGTATGTATAAAAGTATTGGGACACCTGATTGACACTTTGCATTCTACATTCATAGACATTAATATGAAGTTTGGCCCCAAAATATTGCGTAGTGTTTCTGTGGGACTTTTTGCACATTCACCCAGTAAAGTATTTGTGAGGTCAAACACTGATGTTGGATGAGAAGGCCTGACTCAATCTCCATTCCAGTTCATCTCAAAGGTGTTCGATGCGATTGAGGTCAGGGCTCTGTGTGGGTCATTCAAGTTCTTCCACACCAAACTCATCCAACCATGTCTTATGGACCTTGCTTTGTGCTCTGAGTCACAGGCATGCTGGAATAAAAAAGGGCCTTCCCCAAACTTTTCCCACAATGATGGAAGCATAGAATTGCCCAAAATGTCTTGATATGCTAAAGCATTCAGTTTTTCCTTCACTGGAAGTAAGAGCAGACCAACCCCTAAAAGAACAGCCCCACACTATTACCCTTCCTCCAACAAACTTTACACTGTCTGCACAATGCAGTCAGGCAGGTAATGTTCTCCTGGCATCTGCCAAACCCAGATTCGCCCATCAGGCTGCCAAACAGAGAAGTGTGACTCGCCACTCCACAGAACAGGTTTCCACTACGCCAGAGTCCAGTGAAGGTGTGCTTTACTCCACCCTGTCCGACGAGTTGCTGCCGTTCCTAAACACTTCCACTTTCCAGTAATACCATGGAATAGCGATGTCCTATTCTTGAACGAATCATTCTTTTGAGCCGGTTCTCAGGAAGTAACCGGTTGAGCCAGTTCACAAAATCAAACTGAATCGATGCGCAAAACACAGCTGAAGTAGCATGTTCAATTAAAAAAGAACCGAATGAGCCGGTTCAAGTAACTTTCTAAGTTTGCAGAGGATTACTGAGATTCTGTTGAGTGAGTTGCTGACATTATATGCACGTGTGTATCACTGAGTAACTTTCTTTAAAGGGGTCATATGACGTTGCTAATAAATAACATTATTTTGTGTATTTATTTCAAACTCGCGTTTGAATCATCAGTGGCAAATTCTTTAAATTTGAAAACTAGGGCTGGGTTTTGACACAAATTTCACGATTCGACTCAATTCTCATTCATAAGCTTTCGATTTGATTCAATATCGCTTATTTTGGATATATATCATGTACAGTGCATGCCAAATTTTCTCAAGGAAAAAAAATCTCTCAACTAATGCTGTAAAATATACATAAGAGTCAGTTTGTACTACATTGCTATAATATTGAAGGTTAAAATTAATTAAGTTTTTACAATAATAAAGTTACATAATATTTCTACTTCAATTCGTTTTTTTTCATATATAAACATTTAAATGGTGGCTGTCATAAAAACTTGATGGATTTATTAAAACATAAATTAAACATTGAAGAACAGTAAAAATGATAATGAATATGTTATGTGATGCATATATTAAGCAAAATGCTCCTATCTACAGTTTTTCTTGCTGATTAATGAGTTTATGGTCACCGAATATGTTTTTTCTGAGGTAAATGTGACGTTACGTGACATTGTTTACAAGCCGTTATATTGATGTCTTTGCGCGGCTGAAACACAAATTGAGCGATTACATGAGACAGGATACGGAGTGTAAAGTTGTACTCTTTCTTTTAACTTACCTTCGGATGTTTAGTCATGTTTATTTTGTGCTGAAACTGGTATTGTGGAGGAGATGATCAGTTCACGTGCGCCGCGTCTGTTGAACTGAGGCGCTCCAGCGATCTGTCACTCCACATTAAACAGCGCCAAAACGGCATTTATTGCTTAAATACTGCAATACAATGGACAGAATTTGAAATCTGAGACTTTGTTTCATATTAAAAGTACCAAAGCACAATGCTTATTGCGATTTATTAGATGGGAAGTACCCTTCAATGTTCCATCCATTAACTGAAAACAGGCTAGATTAATCGATTCTTGGGATTTAAGAATCGATATAGTTCCGTAAAAATGAGAATCGAATAATATCGAGATATCGATATTTTGTACCAGCCCTAATGAAAACATACTTACAGTCTGTGAGTCAGAACAGCCAGCATTGTAGTCTACTCTCCCAGGATCAGGAAACAGTCCTCCATAAAATGTGCTGCACACATCTGAATATTTGGGTTGAACTGTTCTGGAACAGTGTTGTAAATACAACTTAACCACTGATTTCTAGTTGTGTCCTCTTTTGGAAGACCAAACAAAGTAGTTTCACTTTCACAACGAAACACACAGCATCTTCACAACATGGCGGCGGCGACAACAACAATACTACAGCGAGAATCAAAGTTACGCCTTCTTTCTTTGTGTGAACATTTGGGCAGCGTTATGGAAATCTTCCCACACAGTGACATAGACATATGGAGGTATGTTAGAACAAGGCGTTTTAGTAGGGCGTGGACGAGTCTTAACTTTTATAAAGAATATCTCTTTGGGTTTGAGACTTTAGTCTTTGCAACTTTAGGGATCTTATATATGCATGAACAGCTTGTAACACTCCAAAGAGTGAAATCGCATCATATGACCCCTTTAATAACAAACAAAAAGTACAGGAAATATGTTTATGCCTAGTTTTATTAAATAGGCCAACATTTCTATTAAAACTGAATTTTACTATGGTTTATTATGCATGCAGATTAAGTTGTTAAGCTAAATCAATGAGTTTATAAAACTGGTTTATTCTTTCTGTATTTAAACATGTAGAACATCAGTGTCTGTAATGTGTGCTGTAGGTGCGAAACGTTTAGGAAACTTTCCCAAGATGTAGGCTACTCAATACTGGTCTTTCTTATCCAACATGGATGATCAACGAATTAAATTGTGACCACATTAACTTACATGATTGAAACTTTCATTGAACTGAACTTTCCGCAAGAACCAATGAATCAGACTTTGTATCATTACCATGGAATATCTACCAGGGATGAAATTTCACGAACTGACTCACTGAGCTCTTCAGAAAGACCCATTTTTTCACAAATGTTTGTAAATGTAGGCTGCATGGCTAGATGCTTAATTTTATACACTTGACTTGTGGTAATGGGTCGGAATGCAACAACTGAATTCCAAAATTATGAGGTGTGTCCCAATACTTTTGTCCATATAGTGTACTCCGAAAGTGAAAGCTTGCTCGACGGAGTTTATCTTGGTTGCAAATGTGCCTGTGTGTCTTCTGCCTCTCTGGGCCAGAGACTCAGAAATTGATCAATCTGCTTTTGTCTGTCTTTGTGATGGACACTCAAGAAGTGATGTACAGTATAGGTTGTTGTCTCGCTGGTCGAAGAGGTAGTCTATCTTTTACTGTCCTTTTCCTCACAGGCTAGAGAATCCAAATCTTTTGAAAAGGTTCATTTATCCCTTCGTTTATCACATTTCTCTCCAAAGAGAAGTATATTACAGTTTGAATTTGGATCTTCCATGCATTCATTTCTATGTGCAGAACAGTTGTATTTGTGTATTACGACTGTCATTAAGAATACTTATTTCTCTGAAAGAGTATGAAGTTTATGTGTTGAGTTTACATAAATTTTAAGCTTTTCAAACATACAGTAGTTACGAATAGATTTGGATGGATCTTTGTGGCCTCTTAAAGCTTACTAAGCTGATGGTTTGGCCAGTGTTGGGCCACCACTGAGAGTCTGTTGCCTAGTTTTTACTGTGTTGTCCACCAATTGAGCATGTTTAATGGTCAGTGGAGAGGGATCAGACTTGTTTGACTGTTCAGCTTAGAAGATGCATGCTAGCTGGCTGTTGGCTGTAGTCTTTTCAGTCTGTTCAAGTGTCTTTTTTTTTTTTTGACCCACCACAGGTGACCTGAGGTGACTCTGCAGTCGGTTTTCGATACTGCTAGTTCTTTGATGTCAGTTTGGTGTGTCTGGGCCTTTAGAAATGAGTTTCAAGATGGTTAAAGGGCAGTTAGTTCATAAGAAGCTCCTTGTGGACCAATGGGAAGTCCTCTCCTTTCCATGCCTTGCACTGGGATCTTCTTGCTATTTAAGATATATCTAGAAGCTGTTCTTAGCAGCCTTATATGATGACTTGTTTATGTTAGTCCACCAAGATCCAAACACAATGTAGCAAATCTTTCTCCACTGTGGAAGTCAGAGAGGGGCTGCATCATTGTACTGGGACCTGGAACCTTTTTTTTTTTTGGCAGATGAATCCCTTAGCTGAAAAATATTTATTTAGCACAAACGATACACTGTGTGTGGTGTTTTTGTGTGGTGAAATTGAGCAAAAACAGACAATACTAACAATATTGTGTCAAAAATGTATCAAAATTAACATCTTGTTATTGAACAGTTCAAATCAATATTCACATTTGCAATCGTGCTGATATTCGGGAAAACAGCACTCTTGCTTCCGTGACATTGTTAAACTATACCATGTGATATAAATACAAAAACCCACACAGGGACATTTTTCCCCCTCATATCTTGAACTTTAGGGGCATATAACTGCATTCCAATAGGCTCCTTCATGCAGTCAGTCGTCATCCTGAATCATGTTCGTCAGAAACTGCAAGCCATTTTAATGATGTATGGGACGGGGTGTGTTAAATGCGATAATTGTAATTTGTTATTTCTTTCAAAATTAATTGCACCAAATTAACACGTTAAATTGATATCTCTAAGGTATACACATATATAATGTATATTGTAGCATCTCGACCAATCTGACACACTAATTTTTATTTGATTTAACAAATCAATTATTCATTAGATTAACAAATCGTCACAGTCCCCTCACTCAATAAACTGGATGCCAGGATTTCTGCAAAACACCAGGCCCCCTGGTCCCCATGACAACTAATCATGATATCACTGGTTTTATGACCCCCCAGGAATGTGAGTAGAATAACCCACTCATTGTCCCCATAGGAAAGGCACAGTAGAAATGGACTGTGCTCTAATTAATTCATAGGAAAACCTTTCTTTGAATGAACACACATATTCTTCAGGCCATTGTGTATATTATTGCTGTTTTGTATTAATCTGTTGTATTATAGACTATTTTATTCATGCTTACGATAAACCACTCATTCATATAACCTTACATATACCGTGTTTAGTATCTATGAATTCGCCTTCTGATGATCTAAACAAGAGTGTATATTATATGTTGGTACATAGGCAATATATTAGTGTCCTGAGAATCTTTAGTATTTTCGATTCAAGTTCCAGATACTAAGTACCATGTTTCCACACAAAGAGTCATAAAACAGGTGTGTTTGAACTAAGAATCTGACGTATCCCTCAGGTGTAGATCTGCTGAATATGCAAATGTTTCTATAACTTCATAGTCCTTATTTCTCTTTCTGTACTGAGTAAAACTTTAACCCTTTCCTATACCAACTGTCTGTATGTGTGTGTGTGTGTATGTGGATGTGTATGTTAGACCAGTTTATGTGTTTATGTAGTGTGTTGGACTAGTTTAAGTGTTTATGTAGTTAATAAAACCTTACTCGTATCACACTTGACGTGCTCATTGTTTGCTTATCACTGGAGTCACTTATTATGCAAGATTTACGCTACAAGCTTTTTGTAGAATTGTACAGTAAGAAGTTATTTCCCTTAACCAGGAAATTAACGTTCTTAGAATTGACAGACAGTTGACAATTGACAAACTAAATATCTACAGCGGATCTAAAATATGAATAATTAATTATAACTAGTTATGGTTAATTATTCATATTTCCCATGAGTTGATTCATTACAATATATATATTATTCATTAAATCAAGAATAGTATATCATGTATTGTGAACAATTATTTCATGATGTTAATGTATGCACTGCTTAAAGGTCAAATGTTAACCAAGGCTAAATGAATCGTTCACTCAAAAACCAGTCCTTTATGTTTTTGTGTGTAGAGGAGTTTAATGACCGGATCCTGTGTCCTGATCTGAGTGACACGGAGATGCAGCGTTTGCATGAGGAGGTGCTGAAGATCTATGAGACGTATTGTCTGGAGGAGAGCATCGACAAGATCAGCTTTGACCCTTTCATCATAGAGGAAATCCACAACAGTCAGTCTCATTATGCTTTTCTGTGCTGCACATGTGTCGTGTGCCGTGGTCTCTCATTCTCTCTGTCTCTGTCACTTCCTGCAGTCGCTCAGGGGCCGTATACAGGGGTGGTGAAGCTCCAGACGATGCCATGTCTGTTTGAGGCCTATGAACATGTGCTGTCTCTGCTGGAGAATGTCTTCACCCCCATGTTCTGCCACAGCGATGAGGTAACTTCCAGGAAATGCCATTGTAGAGCTGCTTAAGATGGTGTGTTTGAATTCTCCATCATGCGTCTGTCTCTGTTCTTGCTCAGTATTTTCGGCATCTGCTCTGGGGTGCTGAATCTCCTGCTAGAAATTCAAAGCTAAACAGGTGAGTTTTCTTCTTATATGTGTGTGTGAGCTGTTGCTAAACTCACACAGCAGCGGAATACAATTTAGACTGCTATAGAAGGTTCTGTTTACATGGTTTGATTATGAAAAAGACTGACACCTCATTTGAGAGCAATTCAAATGAAGAAAGGGTTAAATATTAGAATTGTAATTTTGCTGTTGTTCAATAAAATACAATTAAAATAAAATAATAAATTATTATTAGTAGTATTAGTAGTAGTAGTAGTAGTATTTCGCGTACCGCGTACTACTGTACCAGTAGTAGTTTTACTAAAGTAAAAATGTCTTTAAAAATATTTTAATGGTTTATTAAAACTAAATATTTTGACAGTAATAATTATTATAATTATAATAATAATTATTGTTATTATTAGAATCCCCCCTTCTTATTATAATTTTTTAATTTATAAATTTTTTTCATTTATGTTGATTTTAATAATTATTGTGTTATAGTAGTACAAAATCTAACAAATTTCTGATTTAGAATAATAGCAATTAGCAAAAATAGGCTTTTTTTTTACGCAAAATATAGTTTCATTTTGATTTTGTGTGAAAAATTGGAGAGATTAATTGAACACTTGATGACATTGTCATTACTTTTTACACGTGGGTTAAATCTTTCTTTGCTGTATATTCTGTGTGAGCGAGAACGCTCATACAACATGAATGTGAGTGGGCTTCATGATCACACAGTGAGTATTATGCACTTGATATAGTTGCGTGTGCATGTGTAGCAGTGAGAGACGTCTGTAGACAGATTGTATCCTTTTTTGCCTGTTATTCGTAATTTTTTAATTTATAAATTTTTTTCATTTATGTTGATTTTAATAATTATTGTGTTATAGTAGTACAAAATCTAACAAATTTCTGATTTAGAATAATAGCAATTAGCAAAAATAGGCTTTTTTTTACGCAAAATATAGTTTCATTTTGATTTTGTGTGAAAAATTGGAGAGATTAATTGAACACTTGATGACATTGTCATTACTTTTTACACGTGGGTTAAATCTTTCTTTGCTGTATATTCTGTGTGAGCGAGAACGCTCATACAACATGAATGTGAGTGGGCTTCATGATCACACAGTGAGTATTATGCACTTGATATAGTTGCGTGTGCATGTGTAGCAGTGAGAGACGTCTGTAGACAGATTGTATCCTTTTTTGCCTGTTATTCCAGGAATTTGAGTTTGGATGATTTAAGGTAAGTGCATTGTTGAGGTTTAAGTGACTGTTGTCCAGTGCTCTCACTGCATGCCATATAAAGCTGCCTGAAAGTCATAAGACGTGCCTCAATGTCATGAAGGATAGTTAAACTGCTTTGAAAGAAGAGTTGGGCAATATATCAGATATATGTCAGATAACCTGACATTTTCTGTATTTGAAGGATGTTAAAGGGGTCATGAACTGAAAATTCCCTTGATCTTTTGACATATAAGAGGTCATTGTACTATAAAAACATCCTGTAAGTTTTAGAACTCAAAACTTTCTCGTTAGTCTAAAAACAGCAGTCTGCCAAAACGACAGCTTATGGAATGCTCTACTCTATGATGTAATAGTGTGGATAACCACCGTCTCCGCAGACGAAGATCAAAGCCTGCTTTTACATTGCTGTCTGTATAGCCCCGCCCACGATTCTACATCGCTGCCTGTTTAGCCCCGCCCACCGATTCTACAGCGCTGCCTGTTTAGCCCCGCCCACCGATTCTACATCGCTGCTTGTTTAGCCCCGCCCACCGATTCTACGTCACTGCCTGTTTAGCCCCGCCCACGATTCTACATCGCTGCCTGTTTAGCCCCGCCCATCGATTCTACATCACTGCCTGTTTAGCCCCGCCCACTGATTCTACATCACTGCCTGTTTAGCCCCGCCCACTGATTCGCACATATAGTGTTTACAAGAGAGGCGAATGCACAGGTCTACGCAGAAACCAAACGATAAAGATGCTCTGAAGACAACAAGATGCTGTGCAAAGTCAAGCTGTGGAAACAGTCTTTGCATTGCTTTCCTTCTAGGGTTACAAAAAGGTGGAAAATTTCCAGTAAATTTCGGAAATATTCCAGTAAAGATGCTCTGAAGACAACAAGACGCTGTGCAGTGCCAAGTTGTGGAAAAACAGTCTTTGCGTTCCCTTCCTTCTGATCCCAACGTTAGGAAATAGTGGATGAACTTATTTTTAATAAAGATCCAGGTCGCAACAGTAAGAACAGTAAGTCCTTTGTTCACTTAATTTTACAGCAGGTTTGTTAACAAACAATTAGAGGTGTGTGATATATATCGTCTGCGATAATATCGTAATTGTTGTTTTAACAATGTGCGATTTGACATTATCCAGTATTTTGCAAAAAAAACATTCAAAAGACCCCTACAGAGTGCCTGCTTACATTACATGAAGTCTAGACTAGTGTGTGCATATGCATTTAGAGTGCGTTCTTTCACTGCATGATTCCGTCTATTACAATACATTTAGAATGATCACAAAGTCAAGACATAGCGGCAGAAAATGGATATATTTATACCACTTCATATAGCCTAGTTAATTCACTAGTTCCCTATTGCTTTGTCTGTTATTACAGATCGTTTGATACTGTATGTATTGAGTTATTTATGCCTTTTTGACCTAAATCACAGCAGCATTCATCTGTGATGAATGTACGCTGTCTAACACACAACTGTTGGCCAGCGTAGTAGCAGTGGGCGTTTACTTCCTAGTCTACAGTCCTTCACGCCGATTAAAACCGAGCCTCCTGATGAGGGGGTTAAAAATAGTTTCTTGATAAAATTATAAGGGGACCTAAGAACAGTACAAAAAAAATAATAAAAAGGCAGTTCATGACCCCTTTAATAGCTACTCTCACTAAAAATATTCACCCTTTTAAACATTTTTAGAACAAAAAAGTGTCACAAATGTCAAAATATAGAGAGTGGGGTCAGAGTCTTAGACCACTTCTAAAAAATAATTCTATAGTACATCCCAAAGAGAATCTGATGTCATTCAGTGGAAACAAGAAGACACTGTACAATGCTCATTTAAGGGTTTAAATGAATAAACTAGCATTCTTAACATGTGATCTCAGACTTTTGGACCCCGGGTCACCCCGCTATACATAAATCACTGGAAAATAATGAGAAATATAGATTTTTCTTTTTCATATCGTTATATTGCCCAGTTAAGTTTTGTATTGTTATACTGTTATATTGCTCATCCCTATTTGATATCTGAGGAGTATTTTATAGGTGAAAACATCAGAGTTCAGGCTTTTTCATTTGGTCCTTCGTCTTCACACCAAAAGGATTCTAGGAGATGGTTTACAGTTTTTACATGTTTATTCTGCCAATTTTCCCAACTGGAGGTCAGGCTTCACACAGGTTTGACCGTGTGAATGGCTGTTAAGTCAGCTGTTCATTGCATACCTACAAATAATAATAATAAAAATAATAGTGGTTGGGAATATGATCAGGGAATATCAACAATCATCTGCTTTTACTGAAATCCTGAGTTTTTGAGGCTTAGGAATGGAATGGAAAATGGTTAAGTTAACCACTTCCTCTGAAATTTTTATCTGATCTCATAGCATATTGAATTGTACTGTTTTGGCAACAAATGAATGTAGAACAGGAGCACCACATGAACATAATCACAATGGATTACAATCGCCATCTTAATTTATCTTTGCAGAGAAGTCACATTTATTTTTATACAGCACTTTATACAGTCCAGCAGCTTCACAGTTATAAACAGGAAAATATTATGTAATATAATATTATGAAAGACTTCAAACTCAGCAGTAAAGGAGCTCTACAGAAGTCAGTTCAGTTTTTTAACTCTGGTAAGCGTCACACAAACTGACTTTTTGCCAAAAAAATTCCTACATAATCGCTGGACATATGTAGAGAGTCAGTGGGCATGACTGTGTTTCTTGGCAGTGAAGTGGTGATAGCTCTCTGCTGAGATAATCCATCATTCAACTGTAAACAGTCCATTACAACAGGTTTCTGTTAAGACCTGCCTTTTTTCCCATTTTATTTCCCATAGCCAGATGTAAGAGGGACAAATATGAATGCAGTCTTTTAGTGTGTCACCTATCATCTCTTCTCCTCACTGTCTGAGAAGGGCAAAATCAGCAACAACAGTTGCTAAATGTGTCTCCCGCCAATCCAAATTGAGTTGTTTCGAGTCTACTGTCGTGCCGCCAGCTTTAGCAGGAGTTTAGTGGAGCTGTTAACATTCACTTCCTGACTAATCTTACATAATTAGACCCTTGATTTCCTGTGGCATCATGAAATCTGGATCATATAACAGCTTATTTTGGCCAAGAACAGTCCAGTTGCCCTCAGTGGGACGGGAAACACACAATTTTTTGTGGTATAAATACAGATTATTACACAGAATGAAAACAAAGTGTAGCAACATTCTAAATATCTCCAATAGTTTGCAATTTAAAAAAAAAAAAGATTTGATTCTGCCTCGTACACTTTGGCAAATCCAGCACCTAGGTCTTCCTCCCAAGCTCTCATGTCATCAACACAGTTTTGTTCTTTGTTAGACTGATTTTATTCATTTATTTATTTAGTCATTTATCAGACGCTTTTATCCAAAGCGACTTACAAATGAGGACAACAGAAGCAATCAATTGTAGTATTAAAACAACTAAAAACAGATCCAAAACTAAAAGCTAAAACTTTATAAATACTACTTATACACATTTTAAACATTAATAAATTAAATAAAAATGACACATTTAAAACTTAACATTTAAATGAAAAACTAAAAAATAAAGCTAAAAACAATTCAAAATATTAAAGAACAAAAGGTATGAGTATATTAATGATTCTAACATAACACTAAGCCAAACACCAAAATAAACAACTACATATGTGTATGTACAACCACACACACATACATATATATATATATATATATATATATATATACTATATTACACACACATTTATAAATTCAATATATATATTATTTCATTTCCACGCTGCCGCGGTAAACTAAGCTTTTTTATACCCATCTAACAAAATACTACATTAATTCAGCTGGACACACTTTCCTTATTTTCTCCACAACAAATGGCCAAGCAAGTGCAGACACTGACAAGATACGCGATACGGAACGAGACCAAATGCGATACCAGCACGTCTCCACACAGTAAACAAAACAAGCGTTTCCTAGCAATGACAACTGCACTACACACTAATGAGACAAGTAAATACACTTACTTGATGTTCTGACATGTGGATATTGCATTGCATTGCAGTTGGGAAATCTGTTTGTATCTTGCAATATTTTATTTAATTTTTAAAAAAAATTCTGCAAGTGTTCTTCAGTTTTTCGGTGCAATAGGAGTGAGGTGGCCAGCAAATGCACTGTACAGTGTTTCCCACAGGTCTGAAATATACAAAATATATTAAATATAGTACTGGTAGAAAAGTCTGGCATTGCCCACTGGCACAAAATGGTCTAGTACATCTGACAAATAATGTGTAACCTTTAAGATAATATGTGACCCTGGACTTAAGTCGCTTAAGTCGTCTTAAGTCGCTGGGGTATATTTGTAGCAATAGCCAAAATACATTGTATGGGTCAAAATGATTGATTTTTCTTTTATGCCAAAAATCATTAGGATATTAAGTAAAGATCATGTTCCATAAATATATTTTGTAAATTTCCTACTGTAAATATATCAAAACTTAATTTTTAATTAGTAATATGCATTGCTAAGAACTTCATTTGAACAACTTTAAAGATGATTTTCTCAATATTTCGATTTTTTTGCACCCTCTGATTCCAGATTTTCAAATAGTTGTGTCTCGGCCAAATATTGTCCTATCCTAACAAACCATACATCAATGGAAAGATTATTTATTCAGCTTTGAGATGGTGTATAAATCTCAATTTCAAAAAATTGACCCTTATGACTGGTTTTGTGGTCCAGGGTCACATATTTTCATTTACTGAAAATATCTTTTGAAATTAAATTATAGAGATATATCATGAACTGAATATAGAATTATTTTTATTAAAGCTAACAAAGTAATTCAGTCAAGAGCAGTAAATGATTGTCTCTTTTTTGTTGTTTGATTAACATTAATGACACAGACAATAGCAGGTTTATTAGGCTGCTATCACTTTTAAGACCTAATCCACGGATCCAACCATAACCAACTGCTTATGTAAATACTTGTCAAAATGGGAATTTTGTTATAACTTTGACTAAGCACAATATACACAAAATGTGACAGGTGGCTTTCTCTGTACACACTTCATTATCTGACAAAACAATGCGCAAGTACCAAATTGAGACCTCACGTGTCTTATTTCTACAGTTGCCGAGAGAGCACAACGCTCTGCAACTTAAGAAAACACATACAAATAGAAAAAACACCAGCAAATTAAGAATACATCTTCATTAGTTAGTCTGAGACTCAAACTGGCTACGTTTACACGACAACGATGTAGTCAAAAATGGAAACATTTTTCCCTTGCATTTTTTTTAAATTTTCACGTATAGACGACAACGTGTTCAAAACCATTCACGTTTGTGCATATCTGCGAAAACGGCCAAAAACGCTGTATTACGTATGCCATGCCAGTAGTTGGTGGTGTCACCTTGTTAGTAAACAGTACCTGTAGGGAAGTGACGATTATATGTTGTATATGATGCGTCGCCGCTGTTGGTTGTAATATTGGTGAAGTAAATCCATACTTTGCTGAAGAAGCGTTTGCAAACTCTTAAATAGCAACGACAGTAGCATGTACTCCGCCATTGTTGTGTATGTTTGTTCATGCCTGCCTTTAAAATCGACACATACTGCGCATGTCTAAATATCGAACACGTACTACACACGCGCATGACGTCACGGTTTTCAAAGATTCTCGTATTGGGTGTTTACACGGAAACAACAACGGTGGCATTTTCAAAAACTTGCACTTTGAAACCCATTTTCAAAAATATGCGTTTTCAATCCCCAAAACGCCATTGTCGAGTAAACGAACAGGCAAAACGCATAAAAAGTTTCCTGTTTTTGGCTGAAAACGTTGTCGTGTAAACGGCCTCTTACATGGCTACACGCACTAGATCTCAATTTAATAAATCTTCATATAAATGAATCTAGTAATGAATCATAATTTTATGTGCATTCGAACCATTTTGTTTGTCCATCTCCAGCTGTCCTTTAGTGCTGATGTTTATCCGTTTTCTTCCCATTATCTGTGCGGGCATGCTTATTTGCTTCATTTAGACTTAACAGCATCCCTTTGGCCAGGAATTATATCACTGGCCACGGGTCCCCATTGGTCAATTCCAGAGCCACACCCACTTCCATCTTAATACGTCGCCCTACAGTATTACCAGCCCTCCCCAGGAAGTAAGTCTGGGGTGGAAGACGTTAGAAAAAACACCAGCAAATTAAGAATACATCTTCATTAGTTAGTCTGAGACTCAAACTGGCTACGTTTACACGACAACGATGTAGTCAAAAATGGAAACATTTTTCCCTTGCATTTTTTTTAAATTTTCACGTATAGACGACAACGTGTTCAAAACCATTCACGTTTGTGCATATCTGCGAAAACGGCCAAAAACGCTGTATTACGTATGCCATGCCAGTAGTTGGTGGTGTCACCTTGTTAGTAAACAGTACCTGTAGGGAAGTGACGATTATATGTTGTATATGATGCGTCGCCGCTGTTGGTTGTAATATTGGTGAAGTAAATCCATACTTTGCTGAAGAAGCGTTTGCAAACTCTTAAATAGCAACGACAGTAGCATGTACTCCGCCATTGTTGTGTATGTTTGTTCATGCCTGCCTTTAAAATCGACACATACTGCGCATGTCTAAATATCGAACACGTACTACACACGCGCATGACGTCACGGTTTTCAAAGATTCTCGTATTGGGTGTTTACACGGAAACAACAACGGTGGCATTTTCAAAAACTTGCACTTTGAAACCCATTTTCAAAAATATGCATTTTCAGTCCCCAAAACGCCATTGTCGAGTAAACGAACAGGCAAAACGCATAAAAAGTTTCCTGTTTTTGGCTGAAAACGTTGTCGTGTAAACGGCCTCTTACATGGCTACACGCACTAGATCTCAATTTAATAAATCTTCATATAAATGAATCTAGTAATGAATCATAATTTTATGTGCATTCGAACCATTTTGTTTGTCCATCTCCAGCTGTCCTTTAGTGCTGATGTTTATCCGTTTTCTTCCCATTATCTGTGCGGGCATGCTTATTTGCTTCATTTAGACTTAACAGCATCCCTTTGGCCAGGAATTATATCACTGGCCACGGGTCCCCATTGGTCAATTCCAGAGCCACACCCACTTCCATCTTAATACGTCGCCCTACAGTATTACCAGCCCTCCCCAGGAAGTAAGTCTGGGGTGGAAGACGTTCCCAGCTTGCTGCTCATCTTAGACCAGTTTGGCTGTCTGTCTGTAAAACCAAAGGTTGTTGTCTGGAGGTAAAACTGGTCCAAGTTCAGCACAGGCAGCAGGATTGATGCATGGGTTTACTGGATTGCCTTGCATTGCCTTGCATTGTTTGAGCCTCTATTCCTTATGTTCTTTTAAAGGCGTTTAGGTATACCCATAATTTCCTGTTATCATGTTTTCATTGTATTATGTGCCTTTTCATTGGTTGTGTGACTTTGGTGCATTGTGTATGTTTTTTTTAAGCCACACTTTTTGAATTTGTGACAAAACAATAACTGTGTGCTTTTGTGTACAGGAACACGTCAAAGCGTGGCGAGTCATTTGGGATCAGTCGTATTGGAAGCAAAATAAAAGGCGTGTTTAAGAGTAGCACGATGGAGGGCGCAATGCTACCACAGTACGCCATGATTGAAGGAGAAGACGACACAGTGAGGAAAAACATGTTGACACTGATCAGTTTCAGAATTCAGGTCACACTTTAGTTTAGGGACCAATTCTCACTATTAACCACAACTTTTGCCTCAATCAACACTTAATTTGCTGCTTATTAATAGTTATGTTTGTCACTCTAAACTACGCAAAAACCTGGTGATGCCTCCGTCCATACGCAGTATTCAAAACAAGCAACAGGAAAAGATAAAGAGTTCAAACAATCAGAGATTTTTTTTTGTTTTGTGTTTAAATAATTTCTTTGCGTTTTATTTCTCTCTTATTTCTCGTTCTTTTTTAATGTTGTCATTCGAAGTGTTTCTGTGTTCTTTTATTCAGTTTCAGCGATAGCAGGATGCTTTTGTCCATGTTAGGGATTTCCTGGAGCGTCTTGAGATCCGTTACTTTCGTGATGCATATGTGGATTTTCTGCACGAGGGCGCCCTCAAGCGTCCAGTATGAATGAAAAAGACATTACATGCGTTTTATAGCACTCAATAATGGCCAATCCATAAAAATAATACTTCTTTCAAAAGAAATCTGAAGTAAACATATGATAATCCATGTTTTTCTACAGTGTTCAGAAGGGTACTGGAGTTTTAATTAAAGTGTACTGGAGTTTTTTTTTTTTTAAATAGCATTTTAAACTGCAAAAAAATAACTGATGTGCCAAACCATCAGAACTAACCTGAAAATGTGGGTATTGGTTAGGATTAATGGATCTAAAATATGGTCATGCAGAATAAAGCGATAATAAGTGCTTCAAATGTACTAATAAATGGCCAATATGCTAGTAATATGCATGATAATAAGCAACTAGTTTGCAAATAATAAGAATTGGTCCCTAAACTAAAGTGTTACTAGAACTAATACCAACATTTCAGTACTCGGTACCAATACCAGTGAAACATCAAGGTGCTCGGTACCAATTTTGGTACAATAGCAAAAACAGTTGGAACGGTTTAAACTAACTATGCGAGAATTCAAAGAAAATACATAAAAAAATACTTAAATAATACAATAATACTTAACAAAAATAAAAAGTAAGTTAAAAATAAATTGATAATGCTAATAATAATTACAAGTAAATAGTACATTAAAGCATTACGTAGCCGATTAGTCTGCATTTATGCCATTTTGAGCAGAACTGAGTGGATTCTAAAACTTAAACCTTTCTGTTTGGCCATTGCGTTCTCACACTCAACGGACATATCTGGCTACAATGCTCAATCCTTCAAAAACATGTTGCAATTGAAACCTTTGCAGAGTGTGCACACAAATATGCAGGCATTTTCATTTCCACTCTTTTTTGAGTTTAACTGAGTTCCATCTTGGTGCTAGAAATATTTGAAACTGCTGGCTGAGCATTCACTGCTCTGTACCGTCAGGTGGAGGAAGCAGTGATGGTGTTTGAGGACGACTCTCCAGGCCCTGCGGAGGTGGCTGGAACTCCAGGAGCGTTGCGCAACCTTGCTGCTTGGACCATCTCAATCCCTTATGTGGATTTTTTTGAAGACGAGGTTAAGAAAGAGCGCACTCCAGTCTTCTGCATCGACGTGGAGCGCCACGACAGGAAGAACGGTGAGTTTCAGATCTAAATTTTCACTAAATTCCATTTGAATAAACTATTTTGTATTACACCGATGTCCTGTGAGAACAGAGCCATTTTGAGAAAGTGCTTATTTGCTTTTCAGTGGGGCATGAGACTGAGTGCTGGTCTGTGTACAGAAGATATCTGGAGTTTTATGTTCTGGAATCTAAACTCACAGAATTTCATGGTAAAGTTGTTTGTTGTCTCTCTCTCTTCATGACCGAGACGTCATGTTTATGGATTATTTATATCTCTAGTTTGTTTTTCTATTACAGGCCCATTCCAGGATGCTCAACTCCCTTCCAAAAGAATCATTGGACCAAAGAATTATGAATTCTTGTCCTCCAAACGAAGTGAATTTGAGGAATATTTACAGGTAATTTACTTGAGCTTGTACACTTGCTTCATCTTATTTACAAAGAGAAGTACAAACTGCATCAGTCTGCCACAATGGTACTTGAAATCAGGCCTTATAATGTATCAAATAGATTATTAATGTAAATTTAACGTATCGTGTTCGAGTTGTTTAGCAGTGTAGGTGTGTATCATTGAAACTAGTTAAATGCTGAATAGACAGTGAATTAGAGAGACATATATAATGAAATTAACAATGATTTGCTGCATGTATAATTTACTTGTGTAGCATGTAAAATGTGTAGTGCATGATTGTTATCAATATTTCTCAGTTTATTAGGGACACAAACTCTGCTTTTCTTTTTTAAACTTCAGTCTCTTACTATATGTTTTGATTTCTGGTTATGATGACATAATGCATACGATAATGACATGAATCTGCTTTTTTTCTAAAGAAACTGCTGCATCACCCTGAACTGAGTAACAGTCAGCTGCTGGCAGACTTCCTGTCACCTCACAGCATTGAGTCTCAGTTCAATGACAAAATGCTTCTGGATGTAAACCTGGGTATGTTTAACCTCCCTTAACCATATCCACACAATCTGCTTAACTTCACACAACACATCTGCACATTGGGGTTGGTTTTATTTGGCTTTTTCTTCTGTGCTTCTTTCACCATTTTTTTTTAAAATCCTCTCTGAACCTGATTAGTGTGTATATTTTACACTGTATATATACACTCACTGAGGAACATATTCTAATACTGGCTAAGACCTTCCTTTGCTCTCAAACTCGTTTCTGGAGCCCCCCAACACTGCACATATTGCATGTCACCCTCATCTGAGGGTACGTTTAATTGACAATGATGTACTAAAAATGGACGACAACATTGTCAAAACTAGAGGTTGACCGATTGATCGGTTTTGCCGATTATTCGGCACTAGTGTTAATTTTGTCAGCTATTTTAATTTTAGTCTTAGTCTTAGTCCCGGGCTAAAATGTCCTTGTTAGTTTCAATCCATAAAGTCTCAACGTTTTAGTCCAAGAAAATCGAAAGTATTTTAGTCTAGTTTTAGTCGAAGAAAACCTGAAGTATTTTAGTCTAACTTTAGTCAATGAAAACTTCACATTTTAGCAATAAGATTATTATTAATTAACCGTACAGCACTATTCATTTTGGCAGCCATTTTTAATTTAGTCTTAGTCTTACTCAAATATACAATTTAGTTATCATATTTAGACAAACTTGTCATGTTTTTGTTTATTCAATGAAATGTATGAGCATTTTAGTCAGGTTTTAGTCAATGAAATATTAGTCACATTTTCGTCATTCTGTATAATGGTTAAACTGATAAAAAAATTAAAAAAAAAAAATATTATTAGTTTTAGTCACATTCATACTCTTTTTAGGCTAGTCAAGTTTTAGTCAACTAAAAGTCTGAGCATTTTAGTCTTATTTTAGTCAGAATTATCCATGACTATTTTCGTCTAGTTTTAGTCTACGAAAACTGATGACATTTAGTCTAGTTTTAGTCAATGAAAATTGTATTTAGTCTCTTTTTAGTAATGCAATTCTATTTAACCCAGTCAATATAGTATAAGTACCTAATGTTAGTAGTATAGACTAAACCAAAATTTTCTTTTTAGCCAAACCCATTTCAAACCAGGTTATCTTATTATATTATTGTTACCTTATAGCAGTGGTTCTCAACCTTTTTTTCCACCGGGCCGCATTATGGTCCAAGTGCAATTCTCGCGGGCCGCACGCATATCATTTACATATTACGTCAGCAATACAAACCAACCTGATTTATAATATTATAGCCTAAATATTATGATATCTAATCGATTACATTCATTGAAATAAATAAATAATTCTACTCCCCATAAATAACACCCAATTGTGTGAACTTCGGCTCGAAAGGAGTAACAGCACAATCATAGGCGGAGTTTCACTTTTATGCACCCACTGGCAGACGAGCCACAAGCACTTTTTCATATGTTCTACATTTCATGTATTTATGTAGCATATTCTACATTAAAAAATAAATTTAGAATGAACAATAACTGCTGTACAAAGAGTAAAAATAAATAAATAAATAAACATACCTAATGCAGAGGTATGTTTATTTACCTCTGCATTAGGTAAATAAACCTCTTTTTCTGAATTGTGCAGATGACCACTATCTTTCTTTCATCTCTTCTGATAAATTTTCAGTCAAATAGTTTTCTGTGTGCTAGATCAGAGCTAGTTATGAGCAAAAATGACGGCGTATCCACTGAAAAAAAATGCAAGTGATCGCGCTGGTGTCTCTGTCCTGTAAAGCGCGCTTCAGCTTCCACTCTCTGCGCAAACTATTGGATACAGCGCACATTTATCTAGGTTTAACGTTAAACATTTGTTATATGCTTGAACTGTTTTATATCTATAGACTTTATTTTAGTCAAGTCTTAATGATTTGAGAAGGCTAAATTGATCAAGCATATGCTCACTGTCTGCCGCTGGACACTTGGTCGTTACTTTAAATGCGTAACGTTAATTAGGCTATGTGAGTACTGCTCATGTCTGAAAATATGAAAAACTAAATTATTTTACATAAAAACATTAGGCTATAGCTTATATTTATTTAGTAAATGTTTAAATTAATGTAAAAACTAAAATGAATTGTAAAACTGAAAGTAATTTTTTAAAAATTGTGTTCAGCATGGTGGGCCGCATTTGAATTTGTGACGGGCCGCGGGTTGAGAACCACTGCCTTATAGACTCAAGAATACATCCATTACAGACACGGAAGACGCAACATTTATTTTACCAACCAAACATGTTAGAAGTACATGCACATAAATTTAAATAAAGACGAACCCGGCCATCGGTCCCTTTCTCTGTGTCAGACTTAACTTTGTTTGTTGTCGTCTTCTAAATAATGAAGAGTGGGGCTTGGGGAAGTGACGTCGCCTGCGTCTGCGCAGTGCGACCTGATGCAGCCCCTGAAGTGAGACACGGGAAACAGAAATACTGCAAAATAATAATAATAACGCGACTAAACGAGACGAAATAACGTTATAACATTTTGTTTCGTCTCGTTTTGGTCAACGAAAATTAAGAGACATTTTAGCATCGTTTTTATTTTGTAAACCACATTTAGTCTCGTTTTTATTTGTCAACAATATTGCATTATACATTTAATTATAGTCATCGTCACATGACCAGCATTTACGTTGCGTCTCGTCTTGTTTTCGGCACGTGATAAAGGTTCGTTGATGACGATATTTAGTCATAATTTTCGTTGACGAAAGCAACACTACTTCGGAGGACACAATTCAAGGTAGGAAGCACCAGCGTAGCCAGGAATCACAATAGGTGGGCACAGTGGGGCTAACCTAAAATGCATCTGTTATCAAAATAGGCCAACGAGAATAAGTGTGTAAGTGCGGTGACCGAGAGAGCTCAACGCGCTGCAACTTTAGAAAACACATGCCAATAGAAAAAGCACCAGCAAATCAAGAAAACGTCTTCATCAGTTTGACAGCAGGTGCTGCAAATGCTCACAACGCAAACACATAAAGAAACACACTGCAAATGCTTACAACACAACCAAATAAAGAATTTTATTTGCAGCGCGTTTCTTTGTTTGGTTGTGCTGTGAGTATTTGCAGCACGTGTGTTGTCAAATTGACGAAGTTGTTTTTTTTAGTTTGCAGGTGCTTTTTTCTATTTGCAGCGCCTTGAGCTCTCTCGGCCACAGTGTTGAGAACATAACGATAAGAACAGCATTAGCACGACAGCCACACCACACACATGCACATCTGACAGACGCAACACGGTACCATCAAACCAGCAGGACAGCAGTGCTTGGTCATAGTCTGGCTCAGCGGCCACATAAACCACATTAAATAACCATCAGTGACTAGACAACATAGTAGGAAAATGTAGATTGGCTTACTTTTGATGATTATAACAGAGGATGAGAGTTGAACACTATGGAGCGCTAAACACTCTCATGCACTGTATGTTTCATTCATACTTGAAGCCAGAGTGTGCTCTTGCAGCAAGTCCAAAATTGACTCATAGAAGTAATAACTTATGACGTGCCAGGAAATCCCTAATATGGATAAAGGCATCCAGGAATCTCTGCTGCAGCTAAGCTGAATAAAAATCAAGTTTTGACTAATAAAACATGAAGACAATAAACCCATGACTGTGACAATACATGGTTTATGTGCTTTTCAAGTCATCTCTAGGCAATAGAAAAAGCATCTGATTAATGCAGTTCTAACTGACATAACATTTACTATGTTAGGCTATGGAAACATAAATAAAATATATATTTTACCTTGGCTTATTCTATGATAAAAATGGAAAAAGTATTTGTATTATATAAACAAATCATACAATGAAGGGAGCATAATTAGCTTTTTGGGTTAAAAGAATTTCTTAATATGATAATTTCATAAAAGAGTATGACAATTCGATTAGACTGGACAGAAATTGAAATCTACACACTATACTCATAGTCACCAATGCTGATGTTGTTAACATTAATCATTTGAGAATAAAGTATAACAATAATAATAATTTGCACGGTTTGATGTGATATGAGCTAACCGATGTTTAGATTTAATCACCATTGGTAGCAAGATTTATGGTAATGCTTTTTTCCCCAGTTGGTCAGAACAAACGTGGCAGACTTGCTACTTGTTCAGATGGCAATATACGGTGAAAATTCTTATTTGGGTCATATTCCAAGACGTAGGCTAGAATCTGTGATTGCGAAGTACAGTAAATATCCACACCGGTGCGGTGACAGACTGCCACACACACATACTCCTCAAAACATTAGATTCATCCACGCTGGAGCCGTGCCGGAGCACAACCCACGCAAGGAAGATAATTCCGCACACAGCTGCAATTCCAGGTTTTCAAACAGAGATGGTGACAAAGAGGCAAAACTTACGGACTGCAGCTTTAAAATATGCAAAACACACCGGGCAGAAAATGTATGAATTTAACAGCGAAGCTCTGATTCGGGGGTTAGAACTCTTGATATCTGGCAACCGCACTCATGAAAGCTCGTGTAGTAGAGGCGTGTAGAGCAGTCTGCAATAACATTTTAACATTTTGTTTAACGAAAATAAAAAGAGGATTTTGATAAAGTTTCTCTTCTTATTTCGTCAACGAAATTGCATGTTGATATGTTGATATTTATCGTTTATTGACCTTACTGTCATCTCGTCTTAGTCATGGGAAAAAAGCTCGTCAACGAACATTTTTCGTCATAGTCTTCGTTAACCAAATTAACAATATTCGGCACCGATAGTTGATTAATGGAACTAAGTTTTCTGGGTTGTGTCCATTGCTGGAGCGGCTGAGAAGGGTCTGCTGTCAATATACAGTGCAAAAGCGGCCTCTAGGGGTGGAAATCACTGACACCTCGTTAGGGTTGTGCCGATAAGACAATAGTATCATGTTTTTCTGGGACGCCTCAGAAACGTGGCGCGCCGTGGCTGGTATAAACACAAGCATTGACTAGAGCGGCCGCTTGTTCTTTGCTCGTTTTCTGTAGCTG